TTTGAAATCAGGAGCTTTGCTAAATGAGTGACTCCTTATTTGAGTGGTTCAGTGGAGTTCTTCAAATACTGTGGGGTTTGTACTCTGTCAAACTGGATTTCATTTCAGTAGCTACATCCCCATTTTCTGTGGCATTGTTAAATGTTTCCCAGCAGCTCCAGATAATTAATAAGTGGGTTTGAGTTTTGCTGAGATGAATGTAAATTATTCACGTGGCCTATGCAATAGCTCCTGCTATGCTCAGTGTTTGTTTTATGCTGATTTGATGCTCTGTGGAAATTCTCCTGTGTGGAAATCTGGCTTTGGAAATTCTGGTGGCCTTTTGTTGATGAAGCTAAGTCCTATAGGAAAAGGGATCTCCTTTGATACTCAGTCTGCAGGTGTTCAAATACTTGTTCCCAGCAATTGACAGCACCTTGTATTTGTTACAGGTAGGAAATCACATGGCAGTGACCATCACATGCTGGTGTGACCAGCAGTGGTCATGCAGGGACTGTGGAGCAAGGCACTCGTGGTCCACTGTGCTGGTGAGCACAGGGAGCTCTGTGCCTGTTGCTGCTCTTCTGAAAACTGGCAGATTTATGGAACTGGTGCTTGACTCATCCAACTCATGCCTGGTTTTGGCAAAAGAAATGTAGTGATGGAGAACAGCAAATATCAGATCGAAATGCTATTTATGATAGTGCTGTAAATAAAATTCCACCTGCTGGTGGAGGTGGTCCATGGCAGGCTCAAGGCACTCCTTGTCCAGTGTAAAGACACTAGTTTTGTTCCAGAGCAGCAACTGTCACAGTCTTAATCACAGATGGATTGCTGTTGGCCTGAAGCAAACAAAGGCAGTTTGTGTGGTGGAAGGAGTGTAGTGATCTAATTAGCTGGCTCTCATTGGGTTTGGTGAGACAGAGTTGGTGTGCAGCATGGAACCGCAGGCTCAAGGCACTCCTTGTCCAGTGTAAAGACACTAGTTTTGTTCCAGAGCAGCAACTGTCACAGTCTTAATCACAGATGGATTGCTGTTGGCCTGAAGCAAACAAAGGCAGTTTGTGTGGTGGAAGGAGTGTAGTGATCTAATTAGCTGGCTCTCATTGGGTTTGGTGAGACAGAGTTGGTGTGCAGCATGGAACCTCTCAGGAAGAGACGGGCTGAGTCTTGTTAGACCTCTTGCCCTAGAAGGGGCAGTTCGTCTTTGATTGCAACCTGGTGTTGTTCCATCCTAATATTAGATCAAGATACACAGATTGATTCAGCCTTGTGGTAGTATGGAAATACACATGGAGATTCCTCTTGGAAACAGATGAGCTTTAAGCTGTGTGTAAGCATTGCCACTGCCTTTCCATTTCTGGTGGGTTACTACTCATGTGTAGCTCTTTGACTGGCCTTTAGGAAGTGTGGATTTAGTTGTCCTTTATGTATCACTTTTCCTTGTCTTTCCTGTGTCTAGTCATATCCTGTGTGTTGATAAAGGACTGTTGAACATTTTTAACAAGCTACAAAAATGTTGAGGTGTGATTTTTAAAACCCTGTGTTGACACGGTAATGAAATCACAAATAAACTTAAGCTTTCTGTAGCTTTTACCACATCCCTTGAAAAATGATTGAACCACATTGCTTCATCACTAGCTTCCCTTTTGCTGCATCCTATTGTGCAAGGCATGGGTAGGCTGATGATTAGCATCTCTGTATGCCAAAACTTGGCCTAGGCACCCCTCTGTTTTGTAGTCCTCCCTTCCCTCTAATATAAGGAATACCTTTTTGATGTTGCTCTGGCTTTTGCTGCAGGAAGTGAGATTGCATGGAGATGCAAACACAATCTCTTTGCTTCACTGGAGTCTGTGTATTGAGACCTGATTAGGAAAGACAACTGCATACAGCAGTCTTGGAGCCCCTTCTGTTAAGACAACATATTGGTGAAAGTTTCTGACTTAGGAAGCTCAGGAGGATTGTTACCTGGATTTCTGTCCAACCTTGTTAGTCTTCCTCAGCTCAATGTCTAGATTAAAAACAACAACTTTGGAGAGGCAAATTAATTCGTTGCCTAGTCAGAATCCTTCAGCTGATGATTGTGGACACTACTTGGGTGCACATGGTTAGAGACATTGAGGCAATTCTCGGCAGAAATTTGCTCACAGGTGCCAGTTCTTTGAGAGTGTTGCCTCTGCCGGTCTCTTCATCTTGTTTCCAGGGCTTTGGAAGTTATGTGAAGGAACTAGATAAACACAGATAAATGTGTTCTCTCAGCTCTCAAACCTGTCTGCAAAACAGTGCCATAAGAAGAGGCTGAAGCAATGATCTTGAGGAATTAGTTGTAGCCAAGTGATCTGGCTTTATGGAGGTCTGGAAGAGCTGTGACAAGCTGCAGTCACATCTCTGTGATTAGTAAAGTAGCGCAGAGCTTTGGAACCTGGGCACCATGATTCTCTGGAAATGTCACAGCCTCACTCAGAAATGCCCCGTGGTGGATATTAATAGCTTTTTCTCTTACCACGTTATTGTGGGCTCTTCTCCCTTCTGCAGTCACTTCCCAGGCTGTTCTGCTGCAGTTTGCTCCACTGCAAGGAAACTCACAGCTGATGCCAAAAGCTACCTGTCTGTAGCCTCTCCAGCCCTGGCTGGGCTTAAATTCCCTATTTAATGCACTGTTTTCTGCTTGTCAAATGCCTTGTGCTGTCAGGGCAGGAATTCAGAAGGGCTGAGGGATTTTCACTGGGTCAAACATGGCTGCAGAATGTGCATTGTGCTAAAGGCTGAGCGAAAAACGCTCAGCTCAGGAACATTAGGAGTTTTGGAAGATGGAGGTAAGAAGAGGAGAGGCAGGTGAAACTTGGATGTTCAGATGATATGAAGTCTGAGCCTTGCACCAGCAGAACCAATGGAGTCCTTAGCAATCCAGAGAGCAAATCATCAGAGCAGAACTGATCTCAGGCTTGACTTTCTTTGGATTGGCATTGCAGGACCTTGCTGTTCTCTGCTCCCAGTTTCCCCCCGTGCTTGCTTTTCCAGCTGTCATCTTTGTAATAATACATCCAGTGATTGTTTTCTTAGAATCATCAAGGTTGCAAAAGGCCTCTAAGATCATCAAGTCCAGCCATTAACCTGTCACTCAGCTGTAACCCCTAAACCATATCTTCCAGTGCCAGGTCCAGATGCCTCTTAAACACTTCCAGGGGTGATGACTCCACCACCTCCCTGGGCAATCTATTCCAGTGCCTGTTTTCCCTCCTTAGAAAATTTCTTGATGGGGGTGGAAAGCATAAAACAATAAAATGACTAATGGGATTTTTTTATTTTGCCACGTCTCCATGTTTTATGTCTCTGAATTTGTGCAAAGGCCACCTTAGATTTCTGCATGTAACCTCATAACTATCTACAGCTATCTCACGAGGGGAAGCAGAGGGGCAGGCACTGCTCTCCTCTCTGGTGATCAGTGATAGGACCTGAGGGAATGGCCTGAAGTTGTGTCAGGGGAGGTTTAGGTTAGATGTCAGAAAAAGGTTCTTCCCCCAGAGGGTGTTTGGGCACTGGAACAGCTCTCCAGGGAAACTGTCACAGCACCAAGCCTGACACAGCTCAAGAAGCATTTGGACAAGGCTCTCAGGCACAGGGTGTGATTCTCGGGGATGTCCTGTGCAGGGCCAGGAGTTGGACTTCACTGATCCTTGTGGGTCCCATGTGACTCAGGATACTCCGTGATTATATGAACACGATGGACTGTGGTCCTGCATTTTAGATGCTGTAGTAATACAAATGATGTCTAAGCAAGCTTATAGATCAAAGCTGAAGAGATTTATTTGCAACAGGGTTATCTAGTTACCTACAGCAACAGATATTTATCATCTAGCAACAGCAGTGCCGTAGAAAGCTCCCAACCCCACATATCTCCATAGCTTTGTGTCTGAACACTCCTTTCATTTACCAGTGTGGGGGGATGAGGGAGAACAACCTTTTCTGCAGCCAACCTCCCCTGCCTCTTTTTCTCATCCAGTCTTCAAGACTGGTGTTGACTGCTGAACTCTCAGAATGATGATAGCTGTTGTCCTAAATGGCAAACTGGCATTTACTCCAGCTGTGAGTTGAGGGAAATTCATAATTGAAGCATCCTTCAGAAATACCAGTTCAAGGGCAGGGA